TCAGCTGTGCTAGGCAGACTTAGAGTGATCGGGTTTCAGCGTGATCCTGGACCGAGGCCCACGGGGAGGCGGCCGCCCTGGCGTCGCTGAGAAGTCTGACTGTGCTGAGCTGGGCGCTGGGGTGGGGCTCGTGCAGGAGGCTGGTCACGTGAGCGGCCTGCAGAGGAGCTAGCGCGACGAGGCAGAAAAAGATTCATGGCCTGGGAGGCTTTCTGCACTTCGGAGAAACGGTCAACGATACCCGTGACAGCAGATCCGAAGAGGCCGGACGGAGAGAGCGGGGCGTTGAGAAAAGCGGCGCGCTCGGAATCTCCCATGTCGGCGAGCGTGAGCCACAAATGTCTTTCAGACACACAAATGGCGGCCATACATTTCCTCAGGGCTTGAGCAGCAGACTTTGTAGTGCGAAGGGCAATGTCCGTATCGCTCCTCAAATCCGCGACTGATGGGGGATTTTTTCCGCTCTCGTCCCACTCACGCAGTAAATCACCCTGTAGAATCTGGAGGACGGTCATGGAGTGAAGTGCAGAGGCTGCTTGGCCGGCGGCTGAGTAAGCGCGCGCGTGGAAGCTCGAAGTCGCTCTGCAGGCTTTAGAGGGAAGCACAGGTGATGAGCGCCATCTCGTGGAGGGCGGGCACAGATGTGCGGCGACCAGGTCCTCTACAGGGGGAATGGAAAGATAGCCCTTTTCTGCGGCTCCGTCCACAACGCGAAGCGGGGCGGAAGAGTCGGAGCGAGTTCTGGCAGAGAGCGGGGCATTCCAGGACTTTGTGAGTTCCGCGTGCAGTTCGGGCAGGAAGGGCGCGGCCCGTTTAGTGACGGGAGTCGAGCGCTGGCGGAAATAGCTGCCGTCCATACGGTTGATGGTCTGCTCGGGGGGAGGAGACCAATCGAGCCCGAGGCGTTCGACGGCCTGTGAGAGGAGGCGCACTAATTCCTCCTCAATTCCAGCGCGGGTCCTAGAGGATTCTCGGGCCGAAGAGGCGTGAGAACCGGACCAATCCTCACTGTCTGAAGCGAGAAGCGAACATGTCTCCTTGATGTCCGCGGCGTCGTCGGAGGCGACAGAGCGGCCACTCGGCGGCAACTGTATGTCCGGAAGCGGCGGAGAAGGAGAGCGGGAGGCGACAGGCTCCGGTGGGATGAACGCTTCTGGCTGGGGTTCCGGCGGCCTTTGCGAGCGGCGTTTCTTCTTACGCAGCGAAGTCGAAGGCGGCGCGGAAGCAGCTTTTGTGGCCTGAAGTCGAGCCCGCAGGGTCGATAACGGCATCTCCTCGCAGAGATCGCAGCCGCCATCGGCGAGGGCGAGCTCGGCGTGCTCCAATCCGAGGCAGAGAGCGCAGATGACGTGGCGGTCTCCAGCCTCGAGGGGAGCGCGGCAAGAACCGCAGGAGGAAAAACGAGACATCTTTACAAAGACGCTCGGCTCTTTTAGATACACACACACACACACAAAAACAAGAAGCTTTTGATTAAAGGATATGAATCCGTCGGATGGCGCTAGCTTGCAGGACGGCTGAAGGTGGCGAAGACGGCCGGCTTCCTCAGTCTCCCAGATGCTCGCTAGAAGGTGCCTTTTCTACGAGGGCGGCTTCTCTCAGGATCAGCAGATGCGTGTAGCCTCGCTGAAGAGATGAAAATCAGAATTTACAGCCTGAGAGGCGAATTTATACTCTCTGACCACGCCCGTTTCGGCGGGCTCTGACGCAATGAGAGCAGGTCAGACTCTCATTGGCCGAGAGTTCATTCGTGTCTCCTCATAGGCTTAAGCAGTTCCCTGTGAGCGAGCCAATGAGCTGCTAGCTAGCCTGCTCATGCTCTGCTGCAGCTGAACTGCGTTGACAATAGATACAAAATTATGGGATAATTTTTGGCTTCAATTTCTCAGAAAAGATTAATCTTTCCCGTAGCGTAAGCTAGCTTACGCAATACGAGAGAACCTCTCGTAAGAGAACTCCACAGCATGTTTTCTCATTTCTGCAGTCTTAGACGTTATCCTCCCATCAGTGTTAAACACAATCAGTTCTGTTCAGTGGAATCCATCATGACATTCCGCAGAAGGAAAGAGTTAAGTGTGGGGTGGACAGGGCAAGCTTGCCTTCCCATGTTATGCGCTGCACAGGTGTGGGACGGTTTCTTTCTGCTGCAATAACCCAGGCCAGGATAGGTAGCCAAATTCATCCATGGCCATTATTTTATTGGGCATATTCTGCCCCCTGGGCCCAATTAATACATTTAGATAGAGCTGTTTTGATTGGAATGATTTATTTGTCTTGGTGTCTCACCAAACACCATCACTCAACATCCTCTCACCATCTTTCACACACACTTTCACACCCCCCTCTGGCCAGAGCATCATACCTTTTTGCCTGCCTCAGCAGCTTGTGAACTGAATGGGGAACGTATATATTATTAGGGGTGGAATACCACCAAATCTAAACGGTAACTTTGACGATGACAGAAGCTACCGAACGTAGACGCACTGTGGCATTCCCATTTCGTCCCATCTTAAATGAAATGGAGTGATCAATATTGTTGCTTTTAGTCATAATTTCTCTTTGGACACCTTGTGGCCTAGTTCCCTTTTCTTTTCCAGAGAACTCTGTATGTTTTGTTTTTACCCCTAGTTGGTTAATGTAATAGCCCTCACTGTGCCAAATCCAGCCCCAGGTTAAACTGATTGGTGAGTCAAGCACCCACTTCTGCTATTTAACTTTCATTAAAATGCACAGTAGGCATGCACGTCACATCCGTTGGATTTCGCGGTAAATCCGACCAGGAGACTTAACATAGAAATAGGAATACTGGCCTTCAGAGGTAATAGCAAAACTCGACAAGTGGATCATTGTAATGTGTGATTACAACCCCTTCACACACAGGCAATAAAAAAAGGATTCATTTTAGAAGAAAAGTTCCATATAGCACCTTTAAGAGTAATTTTTTTAAAGGGGTCATATAATGCCATTTTTGTACAAGCTAGTTTGATTCTTTAGGGTCTAAATTAAAAGTTTGTAATATACTTTAATTAAAAATTCTCATTAGTATTGTAAGAAAACACTTATTTTACCTGGTCAAAAACAGCTCTGTTTTCAGCACGCCGTTTCAGTGAATATGACTTTAAATGATAATGAGCTTTGCTCACCCCGCCTCTCTGTTCTGTGCGTACACCGTTTGTAACACAATAACACAATAACCATAACGCGTTGTTCAGTATAAACGTGGGATTATGAATTATATTGAGAACATCATACATAGGGTACATTATGGCATGTTTTCTAAGTGTAAACCTTAGACGCATTCATTGTGAAGCGTGCACTAGCGATTTGCAAAGATTAATATAAATATTAATATAAAGTTTAATAAAACGTTACACTCACTTCAGTTCTTCTGGAGGTTCAGCAAGAACACGAATATCTGGTACCGATCCTTTTTTCATGAGCAGCTTCTTAGCAAAACCAGCTTTACACTGACCCTCGTTTATAAAGCAGTCTGGTGTGTGAAATGATTCGCGCAAACATGAGAGCATTGACGTTGATCGTGGGGAATATTCCCTTCGAAAACAAACTCAGCCACTGCGTCTTCAGCGGTTCGGATTTAGGAACATTAAAATGACTACTGTGTTCGTTATTACACCCAAGAACAGAACACCACAATCGCTTAGACGCCATTCTGCTCATAGACAGTGCTCCAGCATATCAACAAAGACCGCGCTGGTCCTCGCAGACTATGATTGACAGCTCTCACGAGCGAGGGCGGGTCTGTGTTGAAACGATGCTGTCAATCAACAATCATGGGAGGGGCTTCCGAGCGTGTGACGTCACAAAATCGAACGGCTCGATTTGAGGCAGGGGAAAACATATAAGGAGATTAAAACAAAAACACTGGATGGATTTTTATAATTTTATGATGGTTGTGTACAGGCACTGCCAACACACATTTCAGTACAATCAACTTGTAAAAGTGCATGTACCATTATATGACCCCTTTAAGATTGATGTGGTTTGGGGTTGGGAAAATGGTAGGAAAAATATCAGAATTTCGCCTAATTATGCGCACACAGTAGGCCAATGCAACTTTTAAAGTCTTTGTGTGAGGAACAGATTGGAATTTGTTTTTCATGTCTGTTGTATTTCTCAAAACAAATATGGCATCAGTGTTGCAGGTTGGATGTCAATAAGATAAAACGTCTTTAGTTCTTGTGTGTCTTTACTATATAGCATGATGTCAAACCCGCAGCATATTTTATTGAAGAGCTGCTGCAGATGGAAAGATTCTGGCCACATTTATGGAAGATGTAAATGTAAAAGCTGAATGCAGATAATGAAAATGCATTTGCAATGTAAATTACGTGTGATGTACCCTGCAAATAATCGTATACTTTAATACTCTACGAGGTCATTCAAGTGCTGTTGAAGATATTTGAGATATTTATTTTTATTTTGATCTTGCACTGCAATAAACTATGATGCTGTGATCTGCTCACCCAAGTTAATCAACAATGTTTTTATTTATCATATTTCATTGATTACTTTTGGAATCTCATTTCTTTCACTTTTTTCAACATTTATTAATTTATAATCTTTAACTGAGGGGTTTGTAAAGAACAAAATGCAAGAAATTACAGAAAGCATTTTTAAATATGCCTCTTTAAGGTCTTTTTAAAATGAGGAAAAATGTTTCAGTTTGCACAACTGAAGGTATAAAAGCTGTAAACTAAATCCGGCTTAAAGTACTATCCAAAAGAGATTTGTTAATGAAAGGTGTAAATGATTATGTAACACTGTCCATAATGTGGGCAATAAGGAGGTGTGAACCAACTGAATTTAAACATACATTTTATTCACAAAATAAAATGCCGCACATGAACTTAAAATAAACTGTCAATGGAGGGTTTTGAATTGGGCCAGAGGCCACCAACAGCTATTCAGGAAAATTATAAATCTAGTTTTTTTTCTGCTGTTCTTATGTCATGACTCTGTTTTATTCCATTTCCCACTAGGTAACTGTTTGACCCCTAAAAAGGCGGGACCCTGCAGAGGTGCTTTCCCTCGTTGGCATTACAACGCTGCATCCAGCAAGTGTGAGCAGTTCGTCTTTGGAGGGTGTAAGGAGAATAACAACAACTATCTCTCCGAACAGGAGTGTTTAAATGCCTGTAAAAACATCACAGGTAAGGCAAATGGCAGTTCTTAAATTAAATGTGGCGTCAGTGGTTCAGGTTGGACAGCAATAACATTGAATTTAATTATGTCTGATTCCCATACAACATGAGATTAAACCTGCAGAATATTTAATTGTAAGAGCTGCCACAAATTTAAAAATGTTTTGTGTTAACAGAAAATATTACAGAATATGAGTGCAAAATGAGGGTGGGTTTTGGTTCTATATGGCCATGCAGACATTTTAGAGAATTCTGTGCTTGCAACTTTGTTTGCTCCAGGTCCTTTTCTGTTCCAAAGTGATATTACCCCTGTGCACAGAGTGGGTTCATAAAGAAATAGTTCAGTGACTTTGGAGAAGTCGTCACCTTGACTGGTCCCTTTACTGAAGCCTTCCAGAACACCTTTGTGATGAATTAGAGCGGCAACCTCCGAGCCTTACCTCACTGATGCTTGTGTCTTGCACAGTTAAAGAGATTCACCACTCCAACATGAACATTTTCTCATCATTTACTCGCTTTCATGACGTCCCAAATGTATATAAGAGATTTTTAGAAAAATAATCCATCTCTACCCACGTGGATGGGTACCTCAAAGCTGATACCTCAAAATCCATGCAAAAAGAAACCGTGTGACGCCAGTTATCAATGTCTTATGAAGCAAAACGATAGGGGTGTGTGAGAAAAATACAAATATTTTTACACTATCACTTTGTGAAGAGAGAGACCTGATCTGGCCACTGGATGGCGTTGGCTCTGACGCGCGGACACACACACATTTTAATTTGCCCCTCCTCTGTTACCGCTATGGTCCGGGTGCACACGAGACCCATAGCACGTGTTCATTAAAACTCAATGTACGCATCGCCCCCGCTACAATAAACTCACATCGCATACACATTCAAGTATTACCAGTTGGTTGATATATGTTGAGTGATTCCAGATGCTGAGGAGATTGTTGGTATTGAGGGCTAGCGCTCCGCCTCGACTCCGCAATAATGGCGCCATCCGGGATGGATCGTACTATGTGTTGTGTGATGTGGGTAATGTAGTTAGGCTTGTTAATTTCTTGTTGGAAATCTCAGAAGCGAAGACTAGGACACTTGGATGTATCTACAACTGGATTCTTTACTGAGAACGTGTTGTTGGTGGCTGCAGTCATCAAGTCCGACTAAGGCAGGCATGCATTGAATCGGGCTTATGAGATATAAGTTCTGCCAACTAAATGCCTATAAAATACAATATATTTCACCTTAGATTTCCAAGTGATGTTATATAAGGAGGTAGGATCCGCAGATCTTAAAACCTATTCTTAAATTTGTTGTCCCTCAATCCCCCCTTTGATAGTTTTAATAACTCTCACATAATACAAATTTAAACCTCCTCAAGTCCATTCTATGACCTATTAGTCAACATAAGTCCAATCTTTCAGTCATGTAACTTGAAAAAGTTACAGGCACATATCACTTATTCTGTGTCGTGTCCTAGATGTACGCGAGTGTAATAGTTCTGGTTTAATGACGAGGGGAGGGGCTGCTTCAGAATAGCAAGCAGACTGAGTAGAAGATGATTAACATTGTTCATTTCTCTTAAGTTCTTCTTGTTTTTTTCTACACTATCATCCAATGTCCAGGTTTACCACTGTAATGACAACTGCCCTCTCCCTTTAAAGGGGTCCAAATATGCCCTTTTACTTAGTCTTGATTTAGTTTTTGGGGTGTACTACAATGTTTTCATGCTTGATTGTTCAAAAAACATTATTTTTCACATACTTTACTTTATTACAGCACCTCTCTCCCCAGTCTGGCCCGAACACGCCGATTTCGATTGGTTTGGTCCTTGGCCCAGTGTGTTGTGATTGTGTGCAGCGCTTAGCGTGTGTCCGGGAAATGTCCCGCCCCTCCATAACTGCAAGTTGTTCTCTAGTGTAAATATGAATACGGATGGCTTTTTGAGCCCGATTCAGACCCTGACAATGTTAACGAAAAAGAGGATCTTCCAGAATGCATTTCATGCGTAGACTTTGTTCACGCGCTCATCGGATATGTCTGTGATTGGCTACAATGATCAACGCACGGGAGCGTTCCAGAGCACACAGAAGTGTTTGAACGTTGTTGTTTTTTTAAATGGGAGCGGGAGCTTTTGGAAGCACAAGCAGCCGTCTATTAGTGGACCGGTCCACCGATAGACGGCTGCTTTCAAACACTCCCGTCTGTATCTGAATAAGTGATCGGTGTAGCCAATCACAGACATATTTGATGAGCGTGTGAGTACAATAGGCAATCAGAGATGTTTATGATTCTGCTCAACAGCGCTCAAAGCGTTGTTATTTTTTTTAATTTCAGTACCGACTTGGTACCGAAGTCTGTACTTTTGACAACACTAGTTACAATGTTTAGGAACAGCGTTTAAAATTAATTTTAACCACTCTAAGTTTGTCACTCTAAGTTTAACCAGATCTAAGATCCGGAAAAATCAAAGGGGATTGTGTTAAATAAAATGTATCCCTTTGGAGTGGATTTTGAGCTTTGTAACCTTGCACATCTTTTTTATGCTCAAACAGCAACATTACATAGTAATTAAATATTCGCTTAATTTTCACCAAAGCTCTCTCTATTTTGCTGTAGATAATTAAAACGTTACGCTGCCTCAGAAGTCTGTCCGAAATCAGCTTCATGAGGTGTCTGTGTGCAAAAGTCATTGCCTAATAGGGCAGCGAGGCTACAAGTCACTGCCTAAGCTTTTAACGCAGCCACTGTCTCACGGTAGGCCGATGTGTGAGTGCAATTGTGGAGCTGTTTACCTTGTGAATTTGTGTATTGGCGAACATTTGTGAACATTTGTGAATATTTTTGTTTGTTTTTGTTTATTTTAAATATATTCTTGGTGGTACAGTTCATTATTTTGGTGCAGTTGTGGATTCACTTGTTTTGGAATGCATCCCATTGGGAACTACTGTACTTCTTGTATATAAATAAAACACCATCTTTAGTATCATAGTGCATTTGTATATTACATAGTGCTTATTAGTATTTTTCTCACACACACACACACACCTGTTGTTTTATTTCAGAAGGCATCGATTCATCAAAAATGATGTGTCAAAAAAGGTCCCGTATACTTGCATTTAATGGACTTTTTTAATTTTTGGTTGGAGTATCCCTTTAATTTTAAAAGCATGGCAAAAAGCATTATTCCTTCCTTTTGCTACTATAGCAGTTTACACTCTTTTGGTCTTTCCAAGCTGAGACATGGATGCAGAGATTAGCCTCCATTTCTACACCAGTGCTTCAGTGAGGTCAGGCACTGACTCTGGGTAAATGGGCCTGGTGGGGTACATGTCTATGACCTCTGCAGGCCTGGCAAGTTCATCCACACAAAACATCTGTATGGATCTCGCTTTGTGTTTGGGATAGACAAACTGCTGCAACAATGTTGAAAGGACACCGTTTTTTTGAATGCCATTGTATCAACATTAGGATTTGCCCTCACAAAAAATCATTAGATTATCATATGTATTCCTTTAAGACATTTCCTTTCATTACTTTCTGATGGTCCATGAGAGATTGAGGATTTAATGTCTTCTCAAATGTTGTCTGTCTGCAGTAATCCCTGGTGGAGATTCGAGAAAGGTGACTGAGGAAGGTATGTTTGCGTTCAATCTCCCCTCTGCCCAAAACTTCTCCCAGAGTGTGTTGCTCGTCTCAGTCTGTGTTTTTGCCTGTGTGATACAGAATGTTCTACTCTTTGTGGAGAAGAGCAGTTTAAATGCTCCAACGGCTGCTGTGTGAAGAAAGAGTTTGAGTGTGATGGACATCAGCACTGCAAAGATGGTTCTGATGAGAACAGCTGTGAGCAATGTGAGACTCTGCACCATAACCACACACACCTCATGACATGTACTCCATTTCTAAATGTACTTCTTTTACTTTTTAGTGAATAAAAGCCTGGGTCGACTTCTTGAGATTGGGGTGAATGAAAAAGGTGAGTTTTATGTAGTGCTAAGAAATTGTAATTGTATTGCCGTGACACACCAAGCCACTGGTGGGCCATCTGAGCGTCTGTCAGGTTAGCTTTGCCCAGTTGAGCGTGTTGAATCGGTGTCAGTGAGAGCGAGAACTCTGATTGGCTGTGCAGACGGCTCAGAAGGCTGTTATAATTATATGTCATTTTACCTGAGCATTCCGATATGCAAATATTTTCAGCCGCCTGGGATGAAGAAAGTGATTCGCATGATTGATATTCAAAATGGTAAGCAAGTGCTGCTTTGTTTATTGTGTTGTCCTAGTTTGGGTTTCTCTTTTTGAATGAAGATTGTAGACTATTGATACCGGCTTATATAAACAGTTATTTCATTACATACAATATGCTAGTTGTCAGTTGCCCCTGTAGTCTTTGCGGTGTGTTACTTCATCAGTGTGTTTCACGTACACTGTGCGGACAGAGCGAGAATGTTAGGCAAACGTTATTGTAGTACTGTGTTACTCACTGAACTGTAAAGTTTTCTCATCGGTAAATGACACATGATTTAATCCAATAACGTTGTCTCTGGTCGTCTCTCTCCTGGTCTGTGTCTGTTCATGTGTTTTGGAGGAGGCGAGGCTTTTGGACGGCGATTTGCCATAAAGGCGGGATCATATGCTTCAATGCTATCAGGCTAAAGTTAGCATTTCCCAGATCACCTATTGCACCTTTAATGAATAATTCACTCCCACATTTAAGCCACCATATTAACTCCCTCTCATGTCACTGGGAAACTTTTCTTTCTTTTATTTTAACACAGAGGAAATTTAGTGGAATCTCCTGGCTATTCTTGTCTATATAATAAAAGCTGTCAAGCTGCAATAAAGGCAAAAACACCGAAAGATAAAACAAGATAGTCCATACAACAAAGCTTTTGGAACAATTTGATTGAATGGACCAAATTTTCCTTTCCACATTTGCTATTTTATGAAGTAGTTCCTTTAGTTTACATGCATTGAGCAAAAGTTTGATGTCAAGAATGCTCAAAGCTATTAATTCTCTCACATCACAACCCATCATGACAGCATTTTGATGATGTGGAAGGGTTATTGAGATATGAGAGCTATTGCATAATGGAATTTTGGGTGGAGAATGTCTTTAATTTTTCTATTATTGCTCATTATTATCGATCTTAGAAGTTTTCATTTATCAACAGTTAATGTTTTGTATTTTTGTTATCCCACCAACAGTTTGTGCATGAAACGGATTGCTTATTTCTTCATAATCTTTAATTCTCTGCTAATCCTGTTCTCCTATCGTGACCGAACAGCCCACTGCACAGATCCTCCTGACACGGGCCCATGTCGAGCCAGCTTTACTCGCTGGTACTATGACCCTCTCAACAAAAAGTGTCATCGCTTCATCTTTGGTGGCTGTGATGGCAATGAGAACAACTTTGAAACAACAGACAAATGCATGAGCAACTGCTCAGGTGTCACAGGTATGAAGTGCTCAATTCTGACATATCAGTGATGATGGCCGAAGAGTGGATTTGATGTATATTTCTGATGTCTATCTTTTAGAAAAAGACGTGTTTGCCAGAGGATTGTTTGCAAGGGTTGATGTTGGCCTTGGGGAAAGCCAGTCAGGTAACATCTAATCATCTTATTTACATATATCTTCCTTTATATTTTCCTATATATACCTTAAAATAATATTCTTGTAACTCATTGCTTTTTTTAATGTGTTAAGCATGAATACAAGTTTTTTTGTTTTATACTTAACCTAAATCAAGATATTTTCCTACGTCTTTTGTCATATTTTAGGTCACTTTACTTAGCCTTAATATATAATGCATTATAAAATTATTTTTAAATATGCCTTATAATGCACCTTATAATGCATTGTATGATCTCATTAATAATTGTAGCCACAGCTATAATACATTATAATACTTATCTATTTATTGTCACATTTTTAAAAAGTATAATGCATTAAAATGAGAGAAATGACCAATTCTAGATGTGACAAGGAATCTGCAAAAGTTATAATCCATTTTAACTTTAATTTTTTTTTAATATATATATAATGAATTACAACATGCGTTATGAATACCTTTTATATGGCATTACACATCAAGCATTCAAGTAAAACGTTACCCAATTTTGCTTCTTGCATCAATTTTGTAAATGTATCTTGTTTTATTTTTTTGTAGATTTGTTCTTGTTTTGCAGCACAACTATCTCTCTCTCTCTCTCTCTCTCTCTCTCTCTCTCTCTCTCTCTCTCTCTATATATATATATATATATATATATATATATATATATATATATATATATATATATATATATATATATATAATATTATTCTGGTGACTTTTAGAACTTGAGTAATTATGTGTGAAGTATGTACGAGTTCACGCAGGGCATGTTCTGAATTGTCTTTTCTCCTCCCTCAGCTTCTGTTGCCCTGGCTGTGGTGTTGGTCGTGGGCATCTTGGCCGTTCTGGCTGTGCTGGGTTACTTCTTCCTCAAGAACAGGAGAAAAAAACATCAGCATCAGCGCGTGGCCACCAGCAGTCCTCCAGTGGCTTTGGGTGAAGAAGACCAACAGATGGTCTACAACAGCACCACTGCCAAAGCATGACACCAGCATCTTTAAAACATTATGGTCTGCCACTCCGCTCTACTGTAGGCTGGCTGCAGTGTAGGACGGGTCATATGAATCATTCCCTTGTCAAAAGTACTCAGTTACAGGTTTCTGACCTTAACCTGAAGCCATATTACAAGTTTAGTCACTGAACCAGGTCTTTTTATCTCAGGTCTTAATGATCAAGGTGTTTCTTTTTAATGTGGATAATTAGTATGTTATGTTACATTGAGACTCAAGTGTGTGTTTGTGAAATGGCACGAGTGAGTTTGTAAAGTAGATATTGGATTTTTATCATTCCTTAAAAATAGTCTTCTACAATCAGAGAATTTTATATTCAGGTTTTATAAGCATGTGACAAAAGATATTGTAATAGTCTTTTTGTTTTATTTGTTATTCACAAGCTGTATTTATCATTCTGAAGATTGTTGATGGGAGTAGAATTTCTTATCTATATTAATAATTCTGTAACATTTTTAATTGCATTATTTTTTCATGGTGACAATTTATTGTTTATATGTGGAATATTTGTGAGATGAATTGTATTATTTGTCCCACAAAACCATGAGTTCTTGTTGCACTAAATGTAAAATGTCTGCCAGCTTTTCTCTAAAGTGTTTATTAAAGAGAACTTCTTAATATTGAGTGTTTGAGTGATATTCCAGTTACTGAGTATTGGAACAAAGGGGGCTTTAAAACTAGAAAACTAGGTTTAATGCATAATAGATTTTTGCTTGTATGTCATTTCAGTATGGGTCACAGTTCGATGGTGACATGACTGCTGCTTTGTAGCTGAATGATGAACTTTACAGTCCTTGAACTGACTTGAATTGAACAATGACACTTTTCTTTAGAGTTGCTTTACAGCCGAATTTATACAATCTGTATTGTATAAAGCGCTATATAAATAAAGGTGACTTGACAATTCATAGTTTTTGGTCACTGACTGATGTGGAGACATGGAGGGCAAAACCTCAATTTTCCATTTCAAAAGAAGAAAAACGAACCTACTGCAATATTTAAATCGCTAAAAACATTTTAAAACGCTTAACGTGAAAAACAAATAAGGTGACTCAATGTACTGAAACAGCATTTATTTTCTATTCGTAAAAGTTATGAATGAGATTGTGCACGCCTAATATGAATGCACTGATAGAGCTCGTTGTTATTTGGTACAATAGCGACATCCATTGGCAGTGACGAGTCTCGCATGTTTCGTGAAAATAGACGAATTGATCCGAATAAAACAAAAAGCAGAGAAAAATGTTAGAACATGGACAGAACATGCTCTTAGGACAAGCAGGAATAAAATTAATTTGAGTGAAATTGGGCCCATCGTTGTTCCCCGAAAGTTGTTTGAAATCGCTCGGCTACGATGGTCAAATTAATTCTTCACTGTATTTTTAATACAATGTCTTTAACGTTTCCGATGACATCACATGGAACCTGTTACTTTTCTCTGCGCTGGTCATAATGGTCTAATCACATTCGTTCATGCTTATAAATGGGAATATTGTTGAGAATTTTACATTTGTGTCAGATTGTTTGGAATTAACAAATAAAACCGTATACACTTACAGTATTCGTGTACAAACAATAATTCATTTTTTTCTCCAAAAATAATAAACGCTTTTTGAATGGGGATCAGTGTGAGACGTCATGCGCCCCCTAGAGGAGAACTTTCCTGCATGATTATCATTTCCGTGACCGCCTCTCTTGTCCACTAGAAGACATCATTTCTCTCATTTAAAAGTTATAGCCAATCACCTTAATGAATTTCCTTGAAGGCTAGTGTTCTGTCGCAATAGCCTATTCACCACCATCATGTCTGTAATCATTTTTCCCCCACTAAATATTTTTAATAAAATTACATTAAAATATAACATGCCAGTGACCTTTTTCTGTTATGTCTCAATACCTTGTTTTTTGTTTTTGTTAATTACTTCTGACTGAATTCTTCACCTTGAATTACTCGATGAACACAATGGTTTTAGACAAAAGCCAAACATACATGTTTCCATGGAATCTGTCACTTCCAAGCAAGTCCTATCTTGTTGGTTTTTGTCTGGGATGTCTTACGGAAGAAACCAGTCATTATAATATCATCACTGATCATTCTGAACATACGTAATAGCAAAGCAATCTTAAATAAAGGATAATGTCTGGCTCAATGTTTGGCAATGTTCATTTATTCATTGGGGAGTGGCACCTCTCATAAATGTAAAACACCAACACCGTATGACTCAGATCAGGTTGAAAAGGTTGTAGCCTATTTTTTATACAAATAAAAGTCCATGTGATGGTTGTCATTCTTTTTCACCCTCCAGTTTTCTTTGGCCTGATTTGTGCTGGGACGTGTGGATGATCTATTATTCTGGCATACACTGAGACAAGGGTCTAAGGTTTCTGAAATAACTGGAAGTTTATATTCTGACTTCTACTGATTCCCTAAAAAGTGTTTTCTTTACATTTAAACAGATTTCCTCTCTCAGTGTGGGATGTTTGCCAGGAGTCATGTAAGAACTTTTTTCATGACAGTCTTTCTGTTTTTCTGGTTTTCAGGATAGCGGTGACGTGCGGACCGAATTCATACACCTGTCCTGCTGGTTGCGTTGGTGGACAAACATGTTTTTTGGCATGTCTTGACGTGTTCTGTTTCGATGTTCATCTTAATAATGACATATTTGAAGACTTGTTGTAATGTTATGTGAAAAGTCATAACATGAGTAAAATAACTGTTGCGTAATAAGATGTTATAATTGTTAAAATGACTCGTGAGACATATAGGCCTACTGTACTTCCTGAGTTTCATCTTTCATTAAAGGGTTCAACGTTTGCATCATGCATTTAAATACCAAGAGTAATAAATGCCTTTGTTTGTCAAGTTAGGACTTTCACGGGACATGCATTTTTAAAGTTGGAAGTGTCACAGCCCAACAGGGTTGAACTTCAGACCCAATCAATCAATCAATCAATCAATCAATCAATCAATCAATCAATCAATCAATCAATCAATCAATCAATCAATCAATCAATCGATTGGTCAATCGATCGATCAATCAATCAATCGATTGATCAATCGATCGATCGATCAATCAATCAATCAATAAATCAATCAATCAATCGATCAATCTTTTCAAACGATCAATCAAAACAACTTTAGTGAAAGTAGATTGTATTAATTTAAAAGCTACATCCAGGCCTATTTTGACTTATTTATTCTAATTAACTCATTAAAATGTAATGGTGACGAATAATGTGGACATGCAAAATAAAATGTATGATAAAAAAAAAACATTTTAAAAAGAAATTGAAGAAAAAAAGTTTTAACAATAAAAAACAATAGTACATATGTATGTATAAAGTATGGTTAAAGTAACTAATTGCAGTTCCAATATAGTTAAGTAATTTTGTTCTTATGCACTGGTAAAAGCATTTCGTAAGTACACACACGCACGCGCGCGCACACACACACAGGCACGCAAGAGTCTGCGCATGCGCACTCGTTCACTTTCGAAAAAAGCGGAGGGTTACAGGAGGAGAACATGATCAGGCTGTCATCATCATTACAACTACAAGCAACAAACGGAGGAGTTTGAGCAGGACAGCCTTTTCATTCTCCTTTTGTACCTCGACAAGATTTTCGTGCCACAGAGACTTTGTTAACATAAATGCAACTTTATCACGGACTGTTCGGTTGACGTCTTTCGAAGCTTTTAAACTTTATTTCTCTTGTATTGGTAAGTGCTTGCACGAGCTATACCTAACTTACCTTCCTAAATTTTATTTCAAGGTTAAAGATTTGAGTTTGATCGTGTTTTCATTTGGTAAAAGTGTCAAACTGAAGTTATCTACCTCCTCTGGGGTTTTCGGGAGGAATGTAAAGAATGTTGGCATTATTCACAAGCAAATTGCAAAAGTTGAAAGTGTGCGTTAAATGCCATATGTTCGTCATCCGTAAGCGACAGTGTGGATGACAGCTCTGAGAATAAATATTTGCGTGTTATTATTACGCTATATATTTTACTCTTTTACCTCACCTCTTAGTTTTAACCTTTGATGAGAACCTGGGATGAATTGAAGCTCTGAAAAGGGAGTTGACAATAAGGCGATTTAAAATCTTCTTTTTTTAAAAAAAGATTTTCTCTCCTATATGCAGCTCTGTCAAACAAGAGTAACTTAGCCGGATCAATAGTCTGATACCATATTGAACATTTTAAACAAAAGAAACTTTCCCCCCTCTAGTAGCTTAAGCAGAAAGTTCTGTAGCAGAAAAACCTCGGAGGTAGAAAGACCTCTGATCTGAAGACTGGCCACAGCATATCTGTCAGTCTATCAAACAAGATAACAGTTGTTTCACAAGTTTCTACAAGGAAGAAGAACATTATGTAGTGCTAAGCAGGCAGACTTTCAGTTGAACAATACAAAGATATATTTCAGCCAGAGAATTGTGAAAGAGGCAGGATTTATGACCCAATCTCTGAGGAATGTTCTCCGTTAGGACATCTTTACAAATATAAAGCTCCTGCCTGTTTGTGTATCATGTCATTTCAGGCTTTGTAAGTTTCATCATGAGATGCAGAAAAAACCTCCTTGAACTTCCATTTAAGCTCTTTTCCCACCTAGACGTGTGCATTCACTGGCTGGATGTCTAAGGCTCCACACATCTACATTAATACATTTGAATACGTTTTTTCGTTGTAAAACACTGTCCGTCCACACTAGCATCTTCAAGCGCTTTCTAAAAGTTTCTCATCCACACTGAAACGTGGGAAACCGCTAAACTTACTGTGCATGTGTAGCACCTCATAAAACTCATAAAGTTCCCATGCTATTCTTCTGGCAGGATCTTTTTATTTAGCAAAATATCTCGCCATTCACTGATTCGTCCACAGCGCACTCAATCACCATTTTTGGTCTAAAACCCAAATGCCGTCATGTTTTGCCGCAGGACAAATGAATTGTTGGACTGTGTTATGAAGAGTGTACAAAGTAACATGACATGCACAATACTGGTATAAACATATCTGTCGGTACACCACTATGTGTCACATGACAAAACGTGCAACGTCGTTTTCGAATACCTCCAATTTCACAGTCCACACAACATCTTGAAAACGTCATTTTCAGATTTATCCACTTGGGAGAGCGTTTTCAAAAAGCTGGACAAAAATGCCGTCTCAGTGTGGACAAACGTAAGGACAAAACGGAGAGAAAACGATGCGGTTTAAAATGAAAACGTATTAGTGTGGTGTGGACAAGGCCTAAAATGTGAGCTGCCTGCCTAGTTAGCATGTTTGGACATCTTTAGTCATTAGTAGTCAGTCAGACGTTTAACTTGTGGCAGGAAGTCTGGTTTTCATTGCAGCTTCTTCTGGTGAAGATTTGCCCGCTTGACAGGAAGAGAGCATCTGTCTGACATGTAAAGCACCAACCACAGTTTGCTTTGATTGCATGTTCAGTTTAATGGAGTTTATCTGGTGATCAGTGATCGGATTGTAGCCAGCACTTGTTGTTTCCTTGTGTTCAAGATCAGGTGATACCGAGTAGGTCTAAAACCTCTTACACAAAGATATTTTGGAAAATTTCTTGAAAAGTGGCTCGGTAACTGTTCTGGAATTGCAGACTTTTGTTCATTCACACTGCCTGAACCTTTCCTAATCGGTGGTCCTGGCCGTAAAGTGTGACACATGTACTTGTCAAGGAGCCCTGCTCTTTCATCACACACCTAAAAATCTTCATTCTTCAGGAATAAATGTCCAGTCTGAATGTAACTCTAGCTCCCAAAACCTGTCTAGGTTGTCAGCTGATTCGGTTTTGGCACCAACAGGTTGGGGAAGTCTTTGTTAATGTGTCCCATGTGAGAGTGTGTTAAACCTGTGAGAGAATTGTGGACTCACCCAGTTCCTTTCCCAGTCCTGCCTGTGGCCGACTGAGTGCCAGGCGGCGTCTTTCATTTCCTGATCCGTGACAGATAAGGAAGGAACACTCTGTTTAAAAAATGCACTGGTCTCCAGTTCGTAGGCAAATCCTTGCTTAAAGAATCAAAGGTCTTTAATGTTGTTGTCTGAAGTTACCACCTCCTAGACGACTTCCAGTCAGAGTAGAAGATAATGATTGGTTAGAAATGGGTCAGTGGTCTAAGATGCAGCACTGGTTCCTTTTATTACCACAGTTTGTATTTTTTTTTCATCAGGGCAACTTGATGTTGCTAAACAAACTCAGTTCATTGACTAATATATTTGCCTTAGCCTGATGTTGGAGACTTGTTATTTGACTGTTAAATCTGCTGCTCTTTGAAATACACTATCAGTCAAAGGTTTAGACATACCTATTCATTCATTATTATCCCTATTTTTCTCCTATTTACAATAAGAGTAAAATCATCAAAACTATGAAATAACACCAATGGAAGTATGGTAATTATGTAGTGGGCAAAACATGTTTGTTTATTTACCAAAGGAGTTCCCATGTGTGCTGGGCACATCACTTTTTTACACTAACTACTAATTTTAAGCATTTACAGTAGGTGTACACCTTCATTTCAAAAGGTCTTTAGGATCATGAGAAACATAAATTATACCAAAGAAGGCCAAATCTAGTGGTTGACTAGTGGTTTATTTATGTTTGTATTGGCTGTGCTAGTTTTTCTGAGCTATGAAACCACTAAAACACAATCAGCGGAAGTGCAAACAATAGGATAGTGTTGTTAACCCTTCCATTCCTGTGGATTCATTGTTAAAGGGCTCTATAATGCTGCACCTGAACCACAGAGTGCTGTTTGGACAGCTTGGAGCAGATGTTCCTCACTTCATAGAAAGGAATTTCACAGTACGTTAACATCCCTTGCGCTAATTCTTCTTTCAAAATTCGAAAGAAAAAAAGTCTTTTAAAGAAATGTTATTTTAAGTGATGATAATAATTTTGGTTTTAGGAAGAAGCCCAAGCTAGAGAAGAGAGTTTATCATTGATTTTTGCTTTTTTAGGTGATTGATTATTTAGAGAGCAGACTTACGTGGCGACCTTTTCACTTATGGACATGCAGGTTGTGTGCCTGTTGCAAGCTGTATTCGTCCAGTCAATGTTATTGACCCCATTAATACACATAAGAACATTCAAGGATTATTTCACTTTAGAATTAAAATTTCCTGATAATTTGCTCACACCTACATCATCCAAGATATTTATGTCTTTCTTTATTTTTGAGGAAAACATTCCAGGATTTTTCTCCATATAGTAGACTTCAACATTTGAAGGTCCAAATTAGCGTTTGAATGCAGCTTCAAATACTCTACACGATCCCAGCCGAGGAATAAGAGTCTTATCTAGCCAAACCATCGGTCATTAAAAAAAAAAAAAAAACAACATTTATATACCTTTTAACCAGAAATGCTCATCTTGCACTTGCTGTGATGCGCCACAGTTTTTAGTAATCCTGAAGACCTTGATTATCTTGTTTGGGTGTGTTTGATTAGGGTTGGAGCTAAACTCCGGAAACTGCAGGAAAGTGGATCTCGGGGGCCGGAGTTGCCCAGCCCTGGTCTAGAATTACCCTGGCCTGGGTTAACAATTTCAAGTGCCAAAAGCCCAGAGGCAATATGAAGCTCCTCTAATGCCTGAGACACAAAGGAACTATTTACATATTTGGGAATTAGCAATATAGCAATAATAAAAAAATAAAAAATGTAAAAAATCTCTGAAAAGTAATAAAATTAAGTGGTTATGCAAAAATGTTTTAACATTACTTAGAGTAAGAGAGCCTATTAAATAGTTTAGGCCATATTATCCCCCTATTTTTGGCGGAAGTTTCGCCAAACTCATAGCGGAATTATCCTTTATATTTCCGCTCTCCGGTGTTTCTAGTAAAATGTGCGTATTTTTCGAGCTGAAAATGCAACGTCAAACCTACGAAGGTTCACCCGTCAAAGTTTCATGATGACATGAAGCGGGCTGAAGTAGCTACGTTGATGGGAATTTATTGACATAGAACTCATGTTTAATGTGATAGTTTCATCCTTGCATCTTCTATAATACAATATATTGTTAGTTTTAAGAGTATACATTAGTGAATAAATACATAGATCCGCATTAAACATTTGTTTGTCCTAATGGTGGTAGAATTTAAGGCCAGGTTCTGGGTTCTAATCCCCCCTCGTATAGTTTATTTGATTTTTGTCTCATTAAAACCAGATGTTCATCCGTTATTGTCAAGGGTGTAACAATATATCGTGTCACAATATGTCGCAATACAAAAATGCAACAATATGTATCGTGGATAGTGACAATCTGTATTGTGTATATTTCACATGAGAAAAGTTTTAGTGTCACTAGTACGTTAAACTACTATATAATGTTGAATATAATGTATAATAATGTAATAGGGGAATATTTGTGGTTCCTGATAATGCCAAATGTCTGATGTTACCAGTAAAAAGTGGCCTACATTATTTTAAATATATCTAGTCAGTGACGGAGTGCTAGCATATAGTATATAACCTTTTACCATATGTCTTGGAGTATCGCAATAATATCGTATCGTGAGTTGAGTATCGTGATATGTATCTAATTGTGACTCGAGTTGTATATCAAGAGCAGGGACACGTTTGTGTGCTTTTTGTTTTGGGATTTAACCGGAACGGATAGTCTCTTTAATGCGCATGTGAACGCCATCAGGTCACAGGTTCGCGTTTAAAGTCTGTTTAGAGAGAACACAGTCGTCTTTGTGGCCCCTAATGTAATA